GCAGGTCCTCCTGGGTTTCCAGCCAGGCTGTGGGGGAAGATGCACCAAGGAAGGGTTTAATGCTTAAGCAGGCCTGGGGAGCTCTGTGGGGGAGGAAGTGAAAAGGTCCTCACGGGAGCACCCTTTTTCCAAGCCATGCAGGTTAAGCTTAGGGGTAAGATGGTGGGGGGAGCTGTTGGGTAGGAGAGCTGGGAGGGGGCTGACTTTCACAGGAGACAAAAGCAGGATCTGGAATAAAAGTGAAAGCGGCCTCTGACCACCAGAAGCTGGGAGTGGCCAACGGGCCGGATCACTCGGTAGTGGTCCTGTTCTGTTCATCTGGCATTGGCTGCCGGGGGAAGACAGGATACTGGGCTGGATGGACCGGTTGGTCTGACGCCATGTGGCTGTTCTTATGACTGGATATTAGTGGGGAATTCTGGAAAACCAACTAGAGAGGGAGGCAGAAAGTGGAGAAATAGCCCCATGTCTTGGGGGAGGGAGGGATGGACCCAGCCACGCTAGGCTGTAGCTGGCTGGTGGGACTGGGGGATGTATTGGGCACCTTCCATAAATCTGCACAGGCTTTGCTAGCTGCATGTTCATGGAAATGTTTCCCTTGTTGAAACCAGGCGGCTCACTTCAAAGCGCCCGATGCTAAGGTGGATGAAGGGAGGGATGGCTGCAGTAAGCTATTCACTGCATCAAACAGGGCTGGCTTTTGCCTGAGATTTGCATCACAGGCTGCACTTCTGTGTGGTCGTTCCAGGTCGCAGGGCCCTTTTCCCAAGTTTGGGGTGATAACCCTGGTGTTCCTGCTCAATTCTGGCATGGCAGATGGCACTCTACCTACTCAAACACCTCATGGCAGTTCCAGTTAGCACCATCTAGCTCTTACCAGTAGATCTCAAAGCACTTTGCAAAGGAGGTCAGTATCAGCATCCCCATTGTACGGATGGGGAAACTGAGGCACAGAGAGGGGACATGGTTCGCCTGAGGTCACCCAGCAGGCCTGGGGCTGAGCTGGGACCTGAGTCCGGGTTCGGAGTCCTCAGTCTCCAATCCACGGTAGTCACAGGATTCTCTTTCTCTTCTAAACGGCCGGGCAGTTCTCAGAGAGTTGTTGCATCCCACCCCGGATGCTGTTTCTGGGCGTCCTTCGGCAGAAATGCTGGCATAGAAATGCAAAGAATTATTAACAAACCTGGGACTGAAGCCTGGTTTTAGCAGTGACACAAAGTACTTTTTTGAAACCACTGCTTTTACGCTTACTCCACTAAAATCAGAGCGCTCGGCCGTGCCCTGGGGGGGGGGGGCGCGTGGTGGTCCAGCTGCCCTCGTTAGATATTCATTCAGCATAGCAGTCTCCTGCCGTGTGGTTTGCATATTTGTAAATCCACTCATCCCCCAAAAGGCCCCTCAAGGTTAGGTATCGGTCATTGCGCCAATTCCCCCTTGTGTGAAGAATAAATCACACAGTTGGTACGTGGACAGGGCACAAGTGTTCTTTCAGTGACCGTCGGAAGGTGCGGAGTAGGGGCAGCGCTGCATTCGCTTGCTTCCCCAGGCCCCACCATTGAATGGAATCGGCTCTTGGCTGGCACACAGCAGTAACCAGAAGTTGATTTTTGGCCTTGGCAGTTTGCTTTGTTTTGATCTCATGCAGCATCTCAGCTGAGAGACAGGGCACCCTAGAGAACAAAGTGAAGCCCAGCGACGGCCGCTGTTTTCATCGTGCTTGTAGACAAAAGCGTCGTAACCAGGGCCTGAGAAGGATTTGAAGCGCAGCGGACACCTGTCTCCACCACGGATTTGAGCTGTGTTTGTAATGAGTCAGTGGCATGGTTGGCTGGGGAGGCGGTTAAGACAGCTGCTGAAGTGTGCAAGACCTCAGCCCCAGACCTGCATCTCGTTAGGGTTTTTCCTCTTCCTCGTTGGCATGGTGCACGCGGGGCCAGATTGGGAGAGGTTGCTATTAACCTCAGTCAGCTTAGCAAGGGAGGGGGTGAGGGTCTCCATTCTTTGGGGACTTGAAATAGGGAATGGAGGCTGCTTTCTCAGCCACGTGAAGGTGGCTGCTGGAATCACGGGGCGCGGCTCTCGGCAGCACGTCAGGTTACATCTAGCATGGTCCCTCCTGGCCTTCAAATCTCTGAATCTAGGATCTACCTGAAAATCAAAGGCTCTGAATTGAGGCCGGAATGAAAAGCAGGGGGTGGGCTTGAGAGCTGAGCACGACCCTTGTGAAACTTGAGTTCTTACTGCAACCCACCCTCCAGCCCGATTTGCACCTGCCTCCATGGCCCCTGCCCTTACCCCACGCTAGGAGGAGCCTGGACCTTGTCTGCCTGATGCTGTCGCGCCTGGTACTGGAAGTGACAGAGGAGCTACCTTGCAAGGATCTGCTCCACTCGAGGGAGTTCCCGGAGCTGGCCTGGGTCCGGGGGATTTTGCAGATGCAGAATATTTTCCCATTAGCCGCTTCCTTTATCTCTGCCCCATCTCCCAGTTCCGAGCAGCGGGGAGTCGTGGGGGACCTAGGACCCAGCATGCACCACACAGTCTTTGTCCCTGTGCACTCGAGGGTAGCAGGTCATGCCTTCCCCTACCGGCCCAGCATTGTCAAGGTGACGCCACTGGTCTCCATGGGGAAGGGGGATGGGGTGGGGAGGATGCTATGGCAACCAGCTGGCACAGGGGAGAAGGGAAGAGGAGTTGCCTAGCAACAGAGGAAGTGCCAGGATGTGCTGATCTAACCTGCCTTGATGTTTGGGGGGAGTGGGATGGGGAGGAGAAGCGAAGGTGTCCATGCTGTCCCGGGGGTGGGGGCAGTGAGGATGAATTCTCGAATGTCTGCAAACAGTTTTGGCCAGCAGGGAGAAGGGGGGGGCGCTGAGAGCAGTGCCTTTGGGCAGAGGAGTTACCCACCCCGCTGGAGCAGTAGCCAGGCTGCGGTGCCCAGCTAGGGAGGGGCTCCCAGGGCCGAGATGTTGGCTGCAGGTCAGCGAGTCTCAGGTGCTTGGGCTGGATTCATCCAAGGGGGGATTGGGGGCTTGTTTTTCTTTTAGGAGGGCAGCTCCCATCCTTTGGCCCAGGTTTCCCGCGGGTTGGAACCCCGTGTCCTGGAATGGCTCCGGGCTCCGTCCTACCCGCACACGCCCAGCGAAGCTCCCGTCCCATACGGGGAGGGGGGGTCGGCAGTTTGCTAGCTCAGCAGGATATGTCTGTGTCCTCCGGCCGGGGGCAGGGACCAGGACGGGACAGATGCCGCTCGCTAGCGCCTGGTGGGTACTGAATTGTCACCAGACGCCCCCTTATAAGCCCCCGACTCTTACCTAGGCACAGGGGATTGCTGCAGGGTTCTCCGGGTACCTTGGGCCCAGCACTGGCTCCAGCCCAATTAAACGGATGCAGGTGCCGCTTTCAACATGAGGTGCAACATCTCAGTATTTGTCTCTGCCAGGCCCGTCTAGCCAATGGGACGATGGCAGAGCCCTGGGGGCTTGGGGAATTCACCCGTGTACGTAGCAGCTCGGCCGCACGGCGCCGAAGGGGTCACTAACAGCTCTCAGGGCTAAGCACTTCCTCGGCTCTGCGCCCAAGTCCCTAGTAGCCCAGACCGGGCTGCTCCTGGCTCTGTCATTGGGTCTCCCTCCCTTGGGGCTCAGCGTGCCCACCCTCAGCCGGCTGGCAGCAGAATCCACCCAGCCGGCCGCTGCAATTCCCCTGCCTGCGGGCTCCATTCGGGCCCCATACGCTGGTCAGTGGCTGGACTCGGCCCAGTCATGGGAGCGTTTCTGCCCGGACCAGCCAACCGGCGTGCGTGCGCGTAACGCCCAGGCCTGCACTTGTGGAAGGTCACCAGCAGGTGGCAGCATGCCAGGCCTTATTTTTCTATTGCCGGGACTGTGGCAGCATCTGGCTTTGTAGCAAAGAACCCACCCGGCCCCCCGATTCCCTCCAGGCCCCACCCCCTTACACCTCCACAACGCCTGGGGTTGGGCGCAGCTGCTCCTCCCTGGCGCAAGCGGCTGGGTCAGCCCTGGTCCCCTTCTGGGTTCTGCCCAGCACGGGAAGGGCCGGATTCCCCGCCCCCACCCAGGGGTGTTCAGGCCCCTCCACCCAACGCTTTCGAAGCCCTAGCAGCAGCGGGGGCGGGAATCGCTTTAACCCTGATTTCAGAAGGCACCAGCCAGGAGCAGGGGAAATTGGCAAGGAAGAGAAATGAAGCGAGTCCGGCTGGCCCGTAGCCAGCTCATTTATTACAAATATAGAGATCTATAATTTAATACAAAACCCGACCCAGCCCGGCAATAAAGCCAGGCCCTGGGCATGGGAGCCCTGTGTCACCGGGCAGCCGCAGCGTGGGGGCTGTTTGCTGTCTGGGCAAAGGCGAAGAGACATTTCAGGATCAGGAACCCCACTGTGTGCTGTGCTGGGGGGGCCAGCATGCGGGGGGGTTATTCGCTGAGGTCCAGCCGAGAGCCCTGAGATTAGGCCGCCAACGAGGCCTGAGCAATTGCCCAGGAGCCTGAGTTTCTGGCCAGTGTCTGAGGTTAGCCTGGCCGGGTGGGGGTGGGGGGGTGGCAGTCAGGGAGTGTGAGACAGGTGGATGTTGGGGTGGTGTCTGTGTGTCAGGTGTATGGCTGGTGAGTGAGGGGCAGAGCTGTGGGGTGTGTAGATACGTTGGGCATGTGTGTGTACATGAGGGTGTATACCCTGGCATGTGTGTGTGTGTGTGTACAGTTGGGGTGTATACACTGGCATGTGTGTGTGTGTGTTTAGTGGGGGGTGTACACAGTTGTGTGGGTGTACACATTGGAGGTGTACACAGCGGCAGGCATGTGTGTGTGTGTACATTGGGGTGTACACAGCAGCAGGTGTGTGTGT